GCATATTTCCCCAGTATCAACAGAGGTAAAGGGCATATTTCCCCAGTATCAACAGAGGTAAAGGGCATATTTCCCCAGTATCAACAGAGGTAAAGGGCATATTTTCCCAGTATCAACAGAGGTAAAGGGCATATTTCCCCAATATCAATAGAGGTAAGGGCATATTTCCCCAGTATCAACAGAGGTAAAGGGCATATTTCCCCAATATCAATAGAGGTAAAGGGCATATTTCCCCAGTATCAACAGAGGTAAAGGGCATATTTCCCCAGTATCAATAGAGGTAAAGGGCATATTTCCCCAGTATCAACAGAGGTAAAGGGCATATTTCCCCAGTATCAACAGAGGTAAAGGGCATATTTCCCCATTATCAACAGAGGTAAAGGGCATATTTCCCCAGTATCAACAGAGGTAAAGGGCATATTTCCCCAGTATCAACAAAGGTAAAGGGCATATTTCCCCAGTATCAACAAAGGTAAAGGGCATATTTCCCCAGTATCAATAGAGGTAAAGGGCATATTTCCCCAGTATCAACAGAGGTAAAGGGCATATTTCCCCAGTATCAATAGATAAACATACATTTACATTGTGATATCGTCCCTGTATTAGTTTGGTTGTGATATTCACTATAGCAAACCCCAAAGAAATGAAGCATACTGACATAGGCCTATCATTTACATTTACATTTACGTCATTTAGCAGACGCTCTTATCCAGAGCGACTTACAGAAGCAATTAGGGTTAAGTGCCTTGCTCAAGGGCACATCGACAGATTTTTTACCTAGTCGGCTCGGGGATTAGAACCAGCGACCTTTCGGTTACTGGCACAACGCTCTTACCCACTAAGCTACCTGCCGCCCCACATCACTTAGCCTCAAAACAGTAAATATCAGCCATTTTGAGAAATATACGGTCTGCCTCCTTAGCGATGGTATACTCCGTAGGATATACATCACCATAAACATTTACTGTACTGGAAGAGGGGGTGCCAAAAAGCTCTCTGGAGGAAGCAATAAAGCGTGACACCTTCACAAAGGAGTCCTGGGGTCTCTGCTCTCTCTCTCTCCTCTCTCTGCCCTCTCTCCTCACTCTGCTCTCTCTCTTCTCTCTCTACTTCCAGGGTGGCCTGTTTTTATGGGGGTAAATATTTTATGCAAATTTCTCCCACAAGTGGTGTGTTTCCACCAAACTGTTGCGGATAAAAATCAGTGCGTGATGACGTAGCGCACACAAAATGTACTTTTTGCTGAAGTTTTCATGTACCGAATAAAAATCTGAAGTTCAATGTGTTTCCATCGCATTTTCAACTCAAAAACTGTTGCGTTAAATAGCAAATGTGCCTACTCTGGTCTTGGCATGTGCGCTCTAGCCAACAGCTTGCAGGCACAGTGCGGGTAAACTAGACTACATGATGAGATTATTATAGATAAGAGCGAGAATATTTTTAGTTGTCATACAGCAGTCAAGCATCGATCATCATGTCACCAGAATCAGACCGTCGATATTTATTGGAAAGGAGCATCAAGGCCATCACTGTGCACTTTCACCACCCTGTGAAGTTCATCATAACTTATTTAATCTGTAGCCTAATAAACTGCATGGCATCCACCACCATTTCTCGCATTAATAGATTTTACAGACACAAAAAGATCCCACCATGTCGAACAAACAAATTATCTGATCTATCTACAGAAACTTCTTGTTTCCATCACAGCTGTTGTGATTTTTTTTTTTATACAGTTTGACTTTACTCGAATAAAAACTGTGGTTGGAAACGTGGTTAGTGGCAGGGACTCACCGCTGCCATTTAGTCTCTCTCCTTCTTGTTTCCACGTCATTTCAACCCAAAAATGTGATGTGATGACGTTGAATCAACATGGAAAACAGATTGGATTTGCAAAAAGTCATCAACATAAAGGAATTTATGTTAACCTAAATCCAATGACATGGCAAAAATGTTGGTTGATTTCACGTTTAATTCACGTTAGTTGACAATTCAACTAAATGTAAATCAAAACTAGACGTTGAACTGACGTCTGTGGCCAGTGAGAAGAGTGTGTGTGTGTCAGAGTTTACAGCCCGACCATTAATCGGATGCCTCTGATGTCCCTGTTACTGATGCTGCGGCTCTTGCATTATTTAACAGTGTCTGTGTCGAGAAGTGGAAATAATTTTCTAAACTGCACCGGGTAGCAAGGTGACATTGAAGTTTAATTGCAGTTTGTGGCAACTAGGCAATGTCAAAAGGGTGAAAGAAGGTCACGACTTCCCAAATCCTTCTGTTATGCAAATGCCTGCCAATCCTCAAGGATGTATATACATTTACATGTTAGTAATTTAGCAGAGGCTCTTATCCGGAGTGACTTACAGTAGTGAGTGGATAGATTTTTGTACTTTTTCATATTGCATGCATGTAGCTAACACAAAATACCTCAAAAACCCAATCACAACAAATATCCACTCGTATCACAATCATAGGTATGTAAAGCGGGATATAGTAAGACTGTCAGTTTTAGCCCCTTTAAAGAGATGATCTGGTACTTTTAGCTGGTAGTTCTGAAAGTAGTGCTCATGAGCCAAAAGTGGTCCCCGAAAATGGCGGTACTACGTCACATACTGTATGTGCAGATATATTCACCACATCATTGTTTTCTCTCTCGCTCTGCTGTGTGCAGCTTGCTAGCGGTCACTGAAATGGCAAGGGGCTAAAGCTCATTGGCTAGAATGGGCCCCGTGTAGCTCAGTTGGTAGAGCATGGTGCTTGCAACACCAGGGTTGTGGGTTTGATTCCCACGGGGGGCCAGTATGAAAAAAGAAAAAAATGTATGCACTCACTAACTGTAAGTCGTTCTGGATAAGAGCGTCTGCTAAATGACTAAAATGTAAATGTAGAACTCTAATTGTTAGGGGGCTGGCCCATGTGGGGGAAAATGGCACCACACAGCTTTCAAACTAGGGATTTTGTGGCTAATTGAGGTAAGACAGTAATTCTGCTCATAGATTATGCATGTATGAACTACACATTGACAAATCCAGCCCAAAGCGGGAGGTTTAAAAAATACTTACCAGTCGCCAAAGTTCCGTAGCATGTCTTTAGGTAATGCATCTGCTTAACTTGGGCTGTCTCAGTATCTGACCCTGACTGACAGGATAATCCCTCATATCACTGGAGACGAGACTCAGTCTGTGTGTGTGGATGTGTTCATGTGCACATGCTTGTCTGTGAATGATGGGTATTTCTAAGTAGATGTCAGCTGTCACATGCTGTATCGTGTTCAGTTGTCCCAAAGAAAGCACTGGGGGTGGGGTGGATCACAATAGCAAAACAGAAGGTGGTGGGACATGCACCTCAGATGATAATCTATGCATGCATGACTATCCATACACAATATCCAAAAGGTCTTCCATGTCTAGATGAGGAAGGAGCAAATATCAGTATCGTATCAGAGGAGAGGAATTAAAACAGGAGCAATCAGCAACACTAATCTCATAGGGGAAGGCCATATCAACACCTTCACTCCAGACATAAATTTACACTGCAGTATCAGTATGTTCCCTGCAGGAATTGAACCCACAACCATGGGGTTGCCAGCATCACACTATTAATACCTGAGTCTACAACAGTTCATCAGTCCCCTGTAGCTCAGTTGGTAGAGCATGGCGCTTGCAACGCCAGGGTTGTGGGTTCGTTTCCCACAGGGGGCCAGTATGAAAATGTATGCACTTACTAACTGTAAGTCACTCTGGATAAGAGTGTCTGCTAAATGATTAAAATGTAAAAATTGAGGTAAAAATGGGGGGGGGGGTTCTTTACAGAAGCTATTGCCCTCTGAGATGACAGAGAGAGGAAGATAAAGTGAGTCCTTCTCTGCTTCCAAGTAAATTCAGTTCTGCCCTGTTGCGTCACACTACCTGCTGGGCAGCTCTCATTTCTCCTGGCATCCAACCGCTGATTTTAGACCGTGTAACGACTCTGCAGTCTGCATTGTCCTCATTTCCAGTGTTCTCTCCGTCTCAGTCTCCGTTTCATTCTCTATATGTTTGGCTCTCAGTTTCTCTCCTTCTACGTCTTCTTCTCTCTCCCTCTGTTTCATATCTCCCTCTCTTTTTCTATCCACTGCCTCACATCTTCTCTCTTTTATGTGTTATGTGATATGGCAACAGTGTGTTGTGTTATGGCGCAGTGTGTTGTGTTATGGCAACAGTGTATTGTGTTATGGCGCAGTGTTTTGTTATGTCAGCAGTGTGGTGTGTTATGGCAGCATTGTGTTGTGTTATGGCAGCAGTGTGGTGTGATATGGCAGCAGTGTGGTGTGTTATGGCAGCAGTGTGTTGTGTTATGGTGCAGTGTGTTGTGTTATGGCAGCAGTGTGTTGTGTTATGGTGCAGTGTGTTGTGTTATGGTGCAGTGTGGTGTGTTATGGCAGCAGTGTGGTGTGTTATGGCAGCAGTGTGTTGTGTTATGGCAGCAGTGTGTTGTGTTATGGCAGCATTGTGTTGTGTTATGGCAGCAGTGTGTTGTGTTATGGCAGTAGTGTGTTGTGTTATGGCAGCATTGTGTTGTGTTATGGCAGTAGTGTGTTGTGTTATGGCAGCAGTGTGTTGTGATATGGCAGCAGTGTGTTGTGTTATGGCAGCAGTGTGTTGTGTTATGGCAGCAGTGTGTTGTGTTATGGCAGTAGTGTGTTGTGTTACAGTGCAGTGTGGTGTGTTATGGCAGCAGTGTGTTGTGTTATGGTGCAGTGTGGTGTGTTATTGCAACAGTGTGTTGTGTTATGGCAGTAGTGTGTAGTGTTATGGTGCAGTGTGTTGTGTTATGGCAGTAGTGTGTTGTGTTACGGTGCAGTGTGGTGTGTTATGGCAGTAGTGTGTAGTGTTATGGCGCAGTGTGTTGTGTTATGGCAGTAGTGTGTTGTGTTATGGTGCAGTGTGTTGTGTTGTGTTATGGTGCAGTGTGTTGTGCTATGGCAGCAGTGTGTTGTGTTATGGCAGCATTGTGTTAGGTTATGGTGCAGTGTGGTGTGTTATGGCAACAGTGGGTTGTGTTATGGCAACAGTGGGTTGTGTTATGGCATCAGTGTGTTGTGTTATGGCAGCAGTGTGTTGTGTTATGGCAGCAGTGTGTTGTGTTATGGCAGCAGTGTGTTGTGTTATGGCAGCATTGTGTTGTGTTATGGCAGCAGTGTGTTGTGTTATGGAAGCAGTGTGTTGTGTTATGGCAGCAGTGTGTTGTGTTATGGCAGCAGTGTGTTGTGTTATGGCAGCAGTGTGTTGTGTTATGGTGCAGTGTGGTGTGTTATGGCAGCAGTGTGTTGTGTTATGGCAACAGTGTGTTGTGTTATGGCAGCAGTGTGTTGTGTTATGGCAGCAGTGTGTTGTGTTACGGTGCAGTGTGGTGTGTTATGGCAGCAGTGTGTTGTGTTATGGCAGCATTGTGTTGTGTTATGGCATCAGTGTGTTGTGTTATGGCAGCAGTGTGTTGTGTTACGGTGCAGTGTGGTGTGTTATGGCAGCAGTGTGTTGTGTTATGGCAGCATTGTGTTGTGTTATGGCAGCAGTGTGTTGTGTTATGGAAGCAGTGTGTTGTGTTATGGCATCAGTGTGTTGTGTTATGGCAGCAGTGTGTTGTGTTACAGTGCAGTGTGGTGTGTTATGGCAGCAGTGTGTTGTGTTATGGCAACAGTGTATTGTGTTATGGCGCAGTGTTTTGTTATGGCGACAGTGTGTTGTGTTATGGCGCAGTGTGTTGTGTTATGTCAGCAGTGTGGTGTGTTATGGAAGCATTGTGTTGTGTTATGGCAGCAGTGTGTTGTGTTATGGTAGCAGTGTGTTGTGTTATGGCAGCAGTGTGTTGTGTTATGGCAGCATTGTGTTGTGTTATGGCAGCAGTGTGTTGTGTTATGGCAGCAGTGTGTTGTGTTATGGTGCAGTGTGTTGTGTTATGGCAGCAGTGTGGTGTGTTATGGCAACAGTGGGTTGTGTTATGGCAACAGTGTGTTGTGTTATGGCAGCAGTATGTTGTGTTATGGCAGTAGTGTGTTGTGTTACGGTGCAGTGTGGTGTGTTATGGCAGCAGTGTGTTGTGTTATGGCAGCAGTGTGTTGTGTTATGGTGCAGTGTGGTGTGTTATGGCAGCAGTGTGTTGTGTTATGGCAGCATTGTGTTGTGTTATGGCAGCAGTGTGTTGTGTTATCGCAGCATTGTGTTCTGTTATGGTGCAGTGTGGTGTGTTATGGCAGCAGTGTGTTGTGTTATGGCAGCAGTGTGTTGTGTTATGGCAGTAGTGTGTAGTGTTATGGTGCAGTGTGGTGTGTTATTGCAGCAGTGTGTTGTGTTATGGCAGTAGTGTGTTGTGTTATGGCATCAGTGTGTTGTGTTATGGCAGCAGTGTGTTGTGTTACGGTGCAGTGTGGTGTGTTATGGCAGCAGTGTGTTGTGTTATGGCAGCATTGTGTTGTGTTATGGCAGCAGTGTGTTGTGTTATGGAAGCAGTGTGTTGTGTTATGGCATCAGTGTGTTGTGTTATGGCAGCAGTGTGTTGTGTTACAGTGCAGTGTGGTGTGTTATGGCAGCAGTGTGTTGTGTTATGGCAACAGTGTATTGTGTTATGGCGCAGTGTTTTGTTATGGCGACAGTGTGTTGTGTTATGGCGCAGTGTGTTGTGTTATGTCAGCAGTGTGGTGTGTTATGGCAGCATTGTGTTGTGTTATGGCAGCAGTGTGTTGTGTTATGGTAGCAGTGTGTTGTGTTATGGCAGCAGTGTGTTGTGTTATGGCAGCATTGTGTTGTGTTATGGCAGCAGTGTGTTGTGTTATGGCAGCAGTGTGTTGTGTTATGGTGCAGTGTGTTGTGTTATGGCAGCAGTGTGGTGTGTTATGGCAACAGTGGGTTGTGTTATGGCAACAGTGTGTTGTGTTATGGCAGCAGTATGTTGTGTTATGGCAGTAGTGTGTTGTGTTACGGTGCAGTGTGGTGTGTTATGGCAGCAGTGTGTTGTGTTATGGCAGCAGTGTGTTGTGTTATGGTGCAGTGTGGTGTGTTATGGCAGCAGTGTGTTGTGTTATGGCAGCATTGTGTTGTGTTATGGCAGCAGTGTGTTGTGTTATCGCAGCATTGTGTTCTGTTATGGTGCAGTGTGGTGTGTTATGGCAGCAGTGTGTTGTGTTATGGCAGCAGTGTGTTGTGTTATGGCAGTAGTGTGTAGTGTTATGGTGCAGTGTGGTGTGTTATTGCAGCAGTGTGTTGTGTTATGGCAGTAGTGTGTTGTGTTACGGTGCAGTGTGGTGTGTTATGGCAGTAGTGTGTAGTGTTATGGTGCAGTGTGTTGTGTTATGGCAGTAGTGTGTTGTGTTACGGCGCAGTGTGTTGTGTTATGGCAGTAGTGTGTTGTGTTATGGTGCAGTGTGTTGTGTTGTGTTATGGTGCAGTGTGTTGTGCTATGGCAGCAGTGTGTTGTGTTATGGCAGCATTGTGTTAGGTTATGGTGCAGTGTGGTGTGTTATGGCAACAGTGGGTTGTGTTATGGCAACAGTGTGTTGTGTTATGGCAGCAGTGTGTTGTGTTATGGCAGTAGTGTGTTGTGTTATGGCAGCATTGTGTTGTGTTATGGCAGCAGTGTGTTGTGTTATGGAAGCAGTGTGTTGTGTTATCGCAGCATTGTGTTGTGTTATGGCAGCAGTGTGTTGTGTTATGGCAGCAGTGTGTTGTGTTATGGCAGCAGTGTGTTGTGTTATGGTGCAGTGTGGTGTGTTATGGCAGCAGTGTGTTGTGTTATGGCAACAGTGTATTGTGTTATGGCGCAGTGTTTTGTTATGGCGACAGTGTGTTGTGTTATGGCGCAGTGTGTTGTGTTATGTCAGCAGTGTGGTGTGTTATGGCAGCATTGTGTTGTGTTATGGCAGCAGTGTGTTGTGTTATGGTAGCAGTGTGTTGTGTTATGGCAGCAGTGTGTTGTGTTATGGTGCAGTGTGTTGTGTTATGGCAGCAGTGTGGTGTGTTATGGCAACAGTAGGGTTGTGTTATGGCAACAGTGTGTTGTGTTATGGCAGCAGTATGTTGTGTTATGGCAGTAGTGTGTTGTGTTATGGCAGCATTGTGTTGTGTTATGGCAGCAGTGTGTTGTGTTATGGCAGCATTGTGTTGTGTTATGGCAGCAGTGTGTTGTGTTATTGCAGCAGTGTGTTGTGTTATGGCAGCAGTGTGTTGTGTTATGGCAGTAGTGTGTTGTGTTATGGCAGTAGTGTGTTGTGTTACGGTGCAGTGTGTTGTGTTATGGCAGCAGTGTGTTGTGTTATGGTGCAGTGTGGTGTGATATGGCAGCAGTGTGGTGTGTTATGGCAGCAGTGTGTTGTGTTATCGCAGCATTGTGTTCTGTTATGGTGCAGTGTGGTGTGTTATGGCAGCAGTGTGGTGTGTTATGGCAGCAGTGTTTTGTGATATGGCAGCAGTGTGTTGTGTTATGGCAGCAGTGTGGTGTGATATGGCAGCAGTGTGTTTGTGATACAGGAGCTGTGAGGCACGGGTTAGATCACTAGAGCCTGCTAATTGGTCGATATGTATGGATGTGTGTATGTATGCACACAGGGGTATTCCTCACTTTCAACCAGGGGTTTCAAGATTAGAAGTGTGGAGGGAATGGAGGCAGATCACACGCTGCAGTGGCAGCAGCCCACTCCTCTTCTCTGGCTGTAGGGAGTTGTATGGAGGTTCAGGGAGAGGGTCGGGTCTCGTGTGGGGGATCCAGCTCAGGGTAGGGAGGTAGAGAGTAGAGACTACAAAGTGGTATTTGAGAGCTGTCAGATCCTGGGAGGGCTTAGAGGGCTGCGAGGGTAGGGAGGAAGAGAGTAGAGACTAGGAAGTGGTATATGAGAGCTGTCAGAGTGGTGAGGAGGTGAGAGAGATGTTTAGTACCTCTGAGGGGGTATGACTCAAAGAGACGGAGGGAAAGTGGGAGGAGAGATTAAGAAAGAGAGAAAGAGTGAGTTAGTGAGAGAGGGGGGAGGAGAGAGAAAGAGAGTGCGAGAGAGTGTGTGAGAGAGAAAGGGGGCAGAGAGAGACGGAGAGAAAGAGGGAGGAGAGAGAGAGCGGTAGAGCAAGTGAGAGAAGGAGAGGACTGAGCAGAACACACCCAAGAACAGAGGGAGGTGTAAACGTATGTTTCCCATGCCAATAAAGCCCCTTAAATTGAAATTGAATTGAAATTGAACTGATAGAAAGAGAGAGAGAGCATGAGAGAGAGCAATAGATTGTCAGATCAAACAGATCAAACAGAACAGAGTGATAGGGAATGTAAACATGTTGACATCATAGGAAGTCCCCTAAAGGTGACCACTCTCCAATTTCTGTCCTTGTTGTTTCTGTACTCTCCCATACTGTCTGTGTGTGTGTGTGTGTGTGTGTGTGTGTGTATTTCAGTTCCCAATGCTGTTGCTGAGACAATATTATTTTGTCTTCATAAAAGAGGTAACATGCTTATTTAAATCTCACGTTAATTGACTACCAGCACAATGTTCTCGCATGAAGTCAAGGGAGTGGGCAATATTATGATTAGGAAGCTTGACACTGAGCACAATCTTCTATAGCCTTTTCCCAGTAGAAAAGCAACATTGGAACTCTATTCAGCTGATCCACATTCGCTTACTTGGTGACTCATGAGATGATAGACATTGTTTCAATATTGGTTCAATACAGGCCCAATCCATTGCTCTGAACAGTATTGGAATTTACAGGATGAGGGGGGAAAAGAGAAGAAAGAGACTGAAATGTTAAAATACTCCAAGTGTTTCCATTTCCCCCATGCTGTGTTATTAATCTAGTGCCCTATAAAATCTGTTCAATATTTTGCCTGATTCTGTACATTTCCCCCCCATATTCAGTTTTCTCCATTTTGTTTTTCCAGGTTTCCGTTATTCACATTTTTTTCAGGTTTTCGCTCTCAAAAACCACACTTTTTTAACCCATAAGAGTCTAAGCCCTGTCTAAGCCGGGGGAGGGGGGTCTACTAAGCTATATGGAATTCTTTTAGGAAGGGTCATACCATGGATCATTTGATTTTGAATTGCAAGACCCCTTGAAATATCCTAATTTTTTATTTGTATTTGCAGAATTTTTGGGGGGGCCTTACTGCTATTAGCCCATTCAATAACAGATTCACTACATGGAACAACAGATAGTCCCTCAAAACAAATCTGAAGGAAGTTTGTTCTGAAGTGTCTGTCCTATATCTGAGAGATATAAGGAAGCCAGGAAACATGTGTATATATATATATTTGTACATGTATTTAACCCCTTATTTTTGTCACTAAACAGTCTCCATATATACACTACCGGTCAAAAGTTTTAGAACACCTACTCATTCAAGGGTTTTTCTTTATTTTGACTATTTTCTACATTGTAGAATAATAGTGAAGACATGAAAACTATGAAATAACACATATGTAATCATGTAGTAACCAAAAAAGTGTTAAACAAATCAAAATATATTTTATATTTGAGATTCTTCAAATAGCCACCCTTTGCCTTGATAACAGCTTTGCACACTATTTCTTTGCACAGGACGAACTCAATATACTTTAGAATGACTAAAACCTAATCTTGACTGTCCAGCTCGCTAATAATCACTGTGCACAGTCAATGGACCCACATTCATACAGTTTCTTGACAGTCCAGCTCGCTAATAATCACTAGACAGTCAGGGAGCATCGAAAATTCCAAAAACAATGAATAGAGGACTATTTTTTGCTAATTTTGATGGCAAGGAAATATTACAAATTTTCAGTGCGGACCTCCGTACCTCATTGAAGACCAAATGCGGCCCCCAGGGCCAAATTAGTTTGACACCCCTGGCCTACAGCTTCTCTCTGACAGTCCAAACAAGGGCAATATCCAGGACTGGTACAGTAGGCTACAGTAATAATTCCCGGGCATTACCCTAACAGTAATCTCCTGAATAGGATAATCTTTATTGGAGTATTTGGCTGCACTGTCACCAATGCTATTATGTATAATTATGATCCATATGCTGTTCTGGAGTTACGATGGTAGAGGCTAAGGCAGGTACACCCTCACTGTCCGCTGTCTAGCACACACCACTGGGCTACAGCCATATTAAAGGAGCACTCCATGGACCAAAATTCTGGAGAAATTGGTATTCAAATAGATAAATGATTTTTTAAGTGCCAACTGTATTTTTTAACAATCCAATCTGGTTATCGTGCCCACCACAGCACAGAGACAGCCTCAAAGTGGTAAATGATCTTAGAGCCAAAACAGATGCCAAACAGCTCTCTGTCCTTTTTTTAAGTGCTGCATTCGACACTGTTGACCATGATGTCTTTCTGGACAGACTGGAGAGGTGGGTCGGCCTCTCTTGTCCAGTTCTAAATTTAACCGGTCGAGAGTTTTTTTGTCACCTTTGGTGAACATAACTCAGAGAAATGTGGCGGTCGACAAGGTTCGATTTTGGGTCCGGTACCTTTCAGTTTATGTATGTTACCTCTCGGCAGCATTATCAGAAAGCACAGCATTGATTTACACTGCTACGCAGACGATACACAACTTTACATTTCTGTGTCACCAGAGGGTTTTAGCTCCACGGATAAATTATTAGACTATATTAGTGATTGAAATATTTGGATGGCTCACAAGTTCCTCCAGCTAAATCAAGACAAGACCGAGGTACTTATTGTTGGAGCCAAAGCACAGAGAGATAATCTAGCCGCACATTTTAATTAATGTGCAATAAAGATAAAACACCAGGTAAAAAACCAAGGTGTTATTTTTTATTCTGAACTAAATTTTGAATCACACATTAGTAATGTGACCAAAATAGCTTTTTACCACCTGAGGAACACTGCCAAAGTGCGGCCATTTCTTTCTCAGGCTGATACAGAGAGACTCATCCTTTTATTACAAGCAGGCTTGACTACTGTAATGCTCTCCTGTCTGGTCTACCCAAGAAAGTCATTGGTCAACTGTAAAACATATAGAATGCTGCAGCACGGGTACTGACCAAGACCAGACAGCGAGCACACATTACACCGGTTTTAAGGTCTCTGCACTGGCTGCCTGTGAGTTTTATAATTAATTTTAAGATTCTTCTATTGGTTTTTAAATCAATCCACCATTATGCACCCCAATACAAGTCAGACATACTTTTAAGTTGTGTACCCAGTAGGTCCCTCAGGTCCTCTGGCACTGGCCTTTTAACTATCCCAAAGCCTAGGACCAAGAGGCATGAAGAGGCAGCCTTTAGTTATTATGCCCCCAGCCTCTGGAATAGCCTGGCAGAGAACCTGAGGGGGGCTGAAACTGTGGACATATTTAAAATATATCTTAAAACACATAGCTTTGCTTTTCCTCAGGGTGTTTTTTAGTCGTTCAGTTTGTGCCATTCTTTAGTTTTTGATCTTATGTTTTTGTGTAGTAAATATTTCAGCTTTTATTTTCATTGTTTTTATTTGTTTTTTCCTGTAAAGCACATTGCGTTGCATTCCATGTCTGAAATGTGCTGTATAAATAAAGCTTGATTTAATTTGATTTGATATTTGAATATTTCAGAAATGCATCCTTCCTTCCTGTCCTCCTTGAAGTAATCACAGATCTGATTTGGTTGGACTGGTGTAAGTAATAGGATGCTAACCTTGCTTTCACCTATCAATCACTTGTAGATCTGTGCTTAGCTCAAGCAAGGATGCATTTCTAAAGTATTTGAACAAGGTGCTGTGTAGTAGGCTCAGTAACATGACGACATGATGGGTATAATTAAGGGGAAGTTTACTTCGCAAGCTTAGCATACATCATCAGCACATGCATACTCTTCTTCTACATATCACTACATCATCTCACTAGGTATTTCATTCTTTATGTAATAGGTATGTTATAATGCATGTATGCCTCTAGTGGGGAACTGGGTAGTGCAGCAGAACACAACACAACACAAGGCCCATGGGTTCTGTTTTCACTCTACAGTGTGGCCCTAACACTTTCTGATTTGGAGGACTGAAGGGGCGGGTGTTTGTAGTGCCAAAATCAAAGAAGAAGAAGAACAGGTGCCATGATTGGCGTTTATCAAACAACCTTTGTTTTTGTGTGTGTTTTGTTTAGTCCGAGAGTGTGTATGGTTGCAACCCAAATGGCATCCTATCCTCTACTAGGGCTCTAGTCAAAAGTAGTGCACTAGATTGGGAATAGGGTGCCATTTGGGAGCACGCTATATGTGTCATGCAACCACTCTGACAAAAATACCATTGTCTCAGAGCCCAGGTGAAAGCAAGGTACAATGCGGCAGGTTACATTGCTTTGGCTACCACGTCAACTGCTTGCATTGCTTTATAGCTTTAAGGATTCACGAGCATCTGCGAAACTGCATCCAACTGATTTGATGATCAAGCTTGCAAACACAGACACACACTGAACACAACACCATCATTACC